CCTCCGCCCCCCCCCCCCCCCCCTGTCCTGGGACCAACAGGTAATATAAGTAACTTTGTATCTACAAAGACACTGGATTACCCTAACTACATCTTCCTAAGTGCTACACCTCTTGTGGAAGTGAAATTATTATGTCAATGTAGTGGGCAGCTTGCATCAGTGGGCAGCTTGCATGAGTGGGATATTTTTAGATTGACAGAAGTCAGACAGTACAAATTAGATTAGGTCCTTAACACATGGATAAAATGTATTAGAGAACAATAAACTAATGGAGAAAGGAAAAAGGAGAAAAAGTCTCAACACATACTTACTTACAAAAACCAGGGTTTCCAGCTCTCCATCCACTAAAAATGCAGCTTTTGTAAGCAGTAAGATTGCTTACTTTACTGGCATAAGCATTAGGGCCAGAGGTTCGGATTGCTTCAAGAATATGCATACAAATCCAGATTGAGGGAACCAGAATAGTTTTGCTTTTGAATTGAAGGTGGCATGTAGAATAACTGTTACAGTTCTTCAGTCAAATAGTTTTGAAATGGTGTCTTTACTGCCCTTCCTCACTGTCTTTACATATATCCTTTCCACAAGCATTACCTAGCAGCCCAAGAATGCTTTGCATTTTGAGCCCACAATCTAACAGATCAAAATTAGTAAATCAATGGATTGACCATTATTACATGTAAGTGCAGTAGAGATAATTTAATATATTCAAGTCATCTGTATTATATGCTTTCACCTCAGTAGTTCAGAGTGAGGGACTAGAGGTCTCTAACTCCATGAGGGCATGATCCAGTACAACAATAAGAATTCACAAGCCAATCTAGTTTATTTCTCTTTCTTGCTTTACATTTTGTCGTGAACTGTATTTTAAGAAAATATGCTGTTATATCAGATATTGATCTCAGGAGATAGAATCCAGCAGAAAGCAACTCCACTACATAGTGTAAGAGGTAAACTTGTAGCTTACCTTATTTTCCTCCAAAAATTTTAATTTGATAGATACATCATTGCGCATTTTGTCATATTTCTCTTTATGCATTTGGAATTGCTGCTGTGACTGTTCAATCTTTGGTAGAGTGTTAGCATCACGGGGACCAAGATTAAGTTCTTCTAGATCTGTGCGATAGGCATCATATTCAATCCTAGGAAGAAAAAAAGTTAAAAGGAACCACAAAATGTCTCAAAACTTGCACACCAAAACCAGAAGACTTGAAAGAAACATACAAGAACATGTAATGCTGATGAAAGGTACCAGAATGACAACCCTGGACAGAGTTCTTTGTTTATCCATCAAAGCAAGGGTAACATAAGTTGTCGGCATTTTCCCTCATCAGTACTTCTCAGCAATTTTATGAGAGTATGTCTTCACTGCAAAGATAACTCAGGTAATCAGTACCTGTATTCATACATGTAAGTTAGCTTAAAATAGATGTGAGCTGGTACACTGTAAAGCCACACCCAGAGTCCTCATTCGTGCCACACTAGTCCATAAATATTGATGGACTTTTCAGGGGTATGTCCTATTGTTCTTTTTACCATTGCAAGCTAAACACCTGCATGATCAGGGAAGTGGAAAAAGTCTGCCCTTTTGGGAACACAGGGACAGCTGTATGAAGGCACTGAAGGATTTAAGTGATTTAGCCAGCCCTCTCATTGCAAAAAGGGCAGGTTACCAAACCAAGTGAAAGCTGCGGCCTATAGCCGCTGACAAGCCAGCTAGCCTGTACGAAAGCTCCAAATTCTGGGGAGAGCAGAATGTGTATCTGGATGGGAGGTTGATTAGAGGCAACATCTGAGAAAGTCTGCATTGAACTCTTCAGTGAAGACATACAATGAGAGACTACTAGACATGACAGAGTAATTCAATCTGTCTGTTTAAAAAATCCTTGACCCTCTCTTTGCAACTTCAAATTTGTGCCAGTGTTGTTTCTTTAGAGATATGGATTCCAGGGAATGGACTAAAATAACCACTCATTTTACCTTTACCCAAATGCAGCACAAGATGCCTACAATTTAGAGTCCAAGAGGCTGTGTCCTGATACCAATCACATGAGCCGTCCAGTCTTCAAATAGGATATATTCTAAAAACACTCAGCTAGAAAGAGTGCCTTTATTATACTAAAACATTCTTTATAAACCTGACCTGAAAGAAACCTAAGCTCTTAAATTAAAGCCCTTGACATGTCTTCTCAGATTAGAGATTGTACCAATTATAAGTCTCCGTAGAAAACTAGATAAACCAATTACAAGTCTGCCACACGTTTTATGCAAATTAAAGTCCTCAGGAGTAGCCAACAAGCTTATCCACCATTTCATGAGCCTAAAATATTTAAGTTATTTCCACATTTTTGTAGTAAAAGACATTAAGAAAGAGTACTTTCAATAAGCAATGACTTTTCAGCCATAAGTCTCAAAAAGTGATTCCCAATTGAATGTTAGAGAAACTGAAGTACATTACAGCAAAATGAAACATCCCCAGTATTTAACAAGATAGTACCAGATCTGAAAACTGAACTATTGTTTCTCAATTCCCATTTGTCACTTTCACCCGTCTACTGAACTCCCTACACTCTAATTAGCAAGGCATGGATGAAGTTTTATTTTAGTATGAAAAGCTTTTCTACAGTTGGATGGTGCTGAAGGAAGCAGTGTTAGGCTGTGTCCAGACTCAGGGGTTTTTTCGGGAAAAGTAGCCTTTTTCCAAAAAAACTTCACCTGCGTCTAGACTGCAGCCGTGTTCTTTCGAAATTAAATCGAAAGAACGCGGCTTTTCTTTCGACGGTGGTAAACCTCATTTCACGAGGAAGAACGCCTTCTTTCGAAAGTGCTTCTTTCGAAAGAAGGCGTTCTTGAATGTAAATAGGGCTTCTTCGAAAGAGAGCATCCAGACTCACTGGGTGCTTTCTTTCGAAAAAGCGGCTTGCTCTTTCGAAAGTTCCGCGTGCAGTCTAGACGCTCTCTTTCGAACATTTACACACAGCTAGACACTGCATGTACCAGCTTATTGACACAGGAAAGACATTGCAAAATTCATCAGGATGTGAATTTAAAGTGCAACAGCTATTCCATAACAACTCTCTATGTGGAGACACAGATTCCACACTACTTGGTGTATTTTAGCTTAAAGCATTCTGGAAGCAAAAGTGACCTACTTGCATTTTGCTTGAGAAAACACAATTGTTAAGTACAAGTACTATGAACTGGAACCGAGATGAATTTTGCCATCAACAAAACTGGCTTTTCAGTTTGGTGGTAGCAAAAAATTGTCCCAAGAGGAAAGTTTGTGAAAATGTAAAGAAAACAAAATTTTACATAATCCAAAGTGTGCATGGCAGACGACAGTACACAAAAGTTATATATATTCTAAAGAGTTTAAAACTTAGTTCCAGACATGAAACAAGAGAGCAAGTAATTAAACAGGTATGCTGGGAGGAAATAAGATTGAATGGTTATTAAAACGCTGATGCATAACAAGGAGAAGCAGAGAGCCAAGTCTGACTCATTTATGAAGGTGTCATGTTAGAAGGGTACTTGTTATCATTTAAATCCTTCAAGCTACAATGGACCAAGTTGGAGATGTTTGTGGGGAAAACAGACATGGAGGCAGTATCGCTGGCAGAAAGTCCAGATAAGTAAGGTCCAGATAAGTAAGGTAGGGCAGAGTTATTCAGGATCTTTAAGGCAACAACAAGAAGTCTAAACTTGTCATTGCATAGAAACAAGAACAAGTGGAGGGATTTCAAGGGAGAAGGATGATTGAGTCAGAATGACTGCTGAGTAAAATCATCTTAGTGACTGTGCTTATGTACTTTGTATGAATAAGACAGCGCAATGTATGTTGAGTACACTGGAAAGGAGACATACTCCTCTGATGGCACTCCAACTGCAGAAGGTTTCATTTTTAGATGAAGAGGTGAAAAACAAAATTGGTCAAAAAGGAACAGTCGAAATTTTGAATCGTACATAATCCAAAGCAGTCACTGTGTGTCACTGCTCTCTCTTTGCAGTCTTGCACTGGCTCCCACTTCTTTATTACATCAAGACAAGCTATTTCTCTTTACTTTCAAAGTCCTGAATTACCTATTACTTATCCCATTCAATATTGAAAAGTCAACCCTACCTCTGATTAGGACATGCCCATTGCCCGCTTACTGCATTTTCAAACAAATATGTTTGTGCCCTTTTCCATGATTTCCTCACACTTTGGAGAAGTGCCCCATAAAACATTTGCAAAGTTATCCTCCTTCAAACTCTCCTTTATCACAATGTCTAGAGGAAAAAAAAAGTAACAGGCTGCTGCTAATCAGAAACCCCTGCCTATCATGGTGACCAATACTGTTCCCTTATTACTACTTACTAATCCTTATTGTTTCTTTGTACTCCCAGTCTCTGTCGGTATCCATCTGTTGTCCCCTGGCTCATATTTAGATTTTAAGGTCCCTATGGCAGGGATAGTCCTTTTGTTTGTATTTGTACAGCAACTAGTACAATGGATCCTAATACATGACAGGGACTCTTAGGCTTTATAGACAATAAAAGCAGATGTCTTCAGAAAAATCTTTCCAGAGAGCTGTGAAATTTTTTGCACCACTCTCCACAGTGAATAAAATAGCACTGCTGACAATG